GGGTAGGACACAATGCAGCTGGAATTCGCAACTGTTTCTGTTGGAAACTGACAGGGGGAAGATTCTCATGTGTCCTCTGTCGGGAATGCATCCAATACAGTTTGGGCTAATGGAACTGGGTTTTCACTGGCCCAAATGTCCAAGGACTGCTGCTAGAGTGTTCATCTAAACTGTAGTACTGATGCGTTGTACTTGCTCCGGAGTTTATATGTTTGTTCTTTCTGTTGTACGCTGGTAAGAGCGAGGGAGGCAGAAGAAACGAGGGAGGTGGCTGTAAGAGAGAGAGAGAGAGAGAGAGAGAGAGAGAGAGAGAGAGAGAGAGAGAGAGAGAGAGAGAGAGAGAGAGAGAGAGATTGTACTTGTCTTTGCACTGAGGCATATGACAGCCATATCATCTCATTCCCTGGCCAGGTAGCACCTTGTGCGTGGAAAACAACAACGAAACCCTCCTGAAGCAACTGTGACATTGGGATGTTCGGAATGCAGGTGCTACCCCCTCTCGCAATTGAGCTGCGAAACGAGGCAATGCAAGTTCTGGTCCTTCCTATGATAATGGCCATCGCAGAGGCTCAGGTAAGGTCATTCTTAGTGTCCGCGTCCTTTCTTGCTGCTTCATGTTCTTCTCTGTCTCTCGTCGATGATCCGTGTATCTTCCCTCTGTGCCTGTTTTCATGCCACTTGAACGAGTCTTTTAACTGTCATTGTTATGTTTGAACAAGTCTTTTTAACTGTCATTATGATGTTTTAACAAGTCTTTTAACTGTCAATATTATGTTTTAACATCAGAGTTCTTGACACTTGTGGTGCCTTCACTGTGGTGAAGTGAAGCAAAGCTGATCTTCTTCTCTTGTCTTGTTGTTGTGCATCCCATCATCTCTACTTTGAAGCAAATGCATTACCATGTGCCCTCAATTGTTCTGTTGCTTGCCAGAGTCACAAAATGGTCTATTTATCGTCAAACAGAGCTGCCCGGTAAACCGTAGGCAGAGAGAGAGAAGAGGACAACTGACGAGGGGCTGTGACAAACTGTTTCATCGGAGTTTCACCGACTCATCAGATGTATTTTGTTGTCTGCCCAAGTTTCTAAATTCAATGCACAAGTTTGTTCATATCTTGACGGAAAAAAAAAAGAAAAAAAAAAATTGTTCACAGCTTCACCACAGATCTGCATTTGAAACCCATTTTAGACACAAAAAAAATCAGATCATCTGGAACTATCCATCCAATTGTTTATTCCCATTAAACCGTAGGGAAACTGTAGTGCTGTCCGGCGACTTCTTTGATTGTGCCTTGTGTGGACAATACTCAAGCGAGAAAAGGTAATTCAATGGAAGTATGAGCGTAGAGGTAATTAACTATGCCCACCCCGAGTCAGTTCAATTGGGGTCGAGTGACTCGAGTCTTGATTCAGTTTTATCCGGTCCGGTGCAGTCGGGTCGGGCTGGGCTGGGTCGGCTTGGGGTTCAAATCTTTGAATTGGTTCTGTTCGGTTCTCTGGTCAGTGCAGTTTGGATCACATCAGATCACATCGGATCAGGTCGGATCGTATCAGATCGGATCGGATTGAATCGGATCGTATCGGTTGATCTGATTTGATTCGGATTGCAAATTGCAACGGCTTTTAGTTCACTTGAGATTTGAATCCTCATTGCTATGTTTTTTTTTTGTGTTGGATTCAAGTAACTGAAGTACCTTTATTTGCAACAGCAGCGCCAATTCACCACTTAGTTCAGTTGTCAAATGAAATTTCAAATGAATGTTCAGATGGATTTTCAGAAATCAAATTTCAAATCCAATTTTCCTTCTCGCAATCGAATTTGAAATTTAGTTTTCAACTTTTCAATTCAATCCTCAATTGAATTCAGCTCAACTCAACTCGGCAGACAAGTGTGTAGATAGCGGGAATTTAGATTCAGGGTAGTCATGTGGACCGGCAGCACCCCCTCACCCAGTGGGCCCTGACCGGTTGGCTGGCACTATTGGGGGGGTTGTTGGCCCCTCGCAACAGCCTGTCTTTTTTATGTTTTATTTTTAATCTTCTGTTTCTTTTCCTCCTCCTCCTCCTCCTCCTCCTCTGCCGCCGCCGCCTTGTACCTCACTACAGTGTTTTTAATGTAACCTTATACGCCTTGAAATTCTGCTTGTATATAGTCCCGCCACCTGCCCAATTCACCAGAGTATCGCTGCAGTTGCCGTTGAAAAAATATGTTCGCCCTGTTATCCACGGCATTGCACGATTTTTACTTATTAATGTTCGATGGTGAAAATCTTCAGAGAAACGGAATCCGTACGGTGAATAGAGTCGCCTTTTGTTTAATCCCCTACAACCTCATGTAGCTCGATTGACAAGCCTGAGCTCCTGTCCGGATCTACTCATCATAATCATAATTAGTTTTTTATTAAATTTTAAATCGAGGATATACGGGATATCATGTGAAACTACTTTTTTTATACTTTTCAACTGCAAAAATCGCACAGAGTCAAGATTTGAATGATGAATAGGGTCGTTGTTGCATTCCGGACCATCTCATGCACGTCAATTGACAAGAGACGGGCCCTGTCCGAAGGTACTCAATCTTAATTACTTTTTTTAATCAAAGGTTTTAAATCAAGGATGTACAGCAAACTGCCGGGGGCTACTTTTCCACTTTTTAACAGTAAAAAAAAAAATCGAAGCATCAAGATCTGAATGGTGTAGGGCAGGGCTGTGCCGGCAACCGGCTGGTTGGACCGGGCCAGACCCAACTGGGCTGGTTGAACCCCCAGTGGTCCAGCCTG